ATCGGCCTCTGCTTCCCAAGTTCTGGGATCAAAGGCGTGCACCACCACCACTACCCCTACAAAGGTTTTTTTTTTTTTTTTGATCAGATTATTTGAAGCAGGAAAATCAGCCTGTCCTCATTAGGATTTCTATTGCTGTGTTAAAACTCCATGGACAAAAGCAGAGTGGGAAGGGAGGGGTTTATTTCACTTACACTTCCAAGTAGCAGTGTATCACTGAGGGAGGTCAGGGCAGGAACTCACACAGGGCTGGAACCTGGAGACAGGAGCTGATACAGAGGCCACAGAGGAACACTGCTTATTGGCTTGCTTCTCATGGCTTGCTCAGCCTGCTTGCTTAAAGGTCTCAGGGCCACCAGCCCAGGAGTGGCCCTGTCCACAGTAAGCTGGGTCCTTCTAGGTTAATCATCCTTCAAGAAACTGTACCATGGGCTTGCCCACAGGTCTATGTGGAGGGGGCCATTTTCTCAGTTGAGAGTCCGTGTTCCAAAATGACTTTGACTTGTATTAGTGGACATAGGACCCTGAGTCTGGGTGCCTGCCTTCCCTCTGGAGGGCAAGCCCTGCTGGCCCTTCACCACTGTCAGAAGCTGGCTCCCTGGGTTTCCAGTGTAGACTGAAGGCCGGCAGCTCTCCACGGCTTCTCCAGGGCTCCAGCACCAATGTGGACTGCAGAGACATCCAGCTTCATGGACTGAATAAATGTTAGATTCCCTTCTAGGAACCACCTGAACCACAGTCTGTAAGCCATAAATGCATTTGTATATCTGCCGGTTAGTGCAGGTGGTCTCTAGGTTCAGGGTGTGGTCACCTTCCCAGAGCTGGGATAAGGGAGAAGCAAGGAAACCCATTTCTCTGAACATAAGAACTCTTTCATGTAATATTTGAAAAAATAAAAATGGATGTAAAACTGCCCTGTTGTGGATGTAGATGTGGGCTTGAGGTCCTGTGTTTGGACCACCCGCCTCCCTGGGCAGGCCCTGCGTTGATACCGGGTCCATCAGTGCCCCTACTCCTGTACCTGTTTCTGCTGTTGCATTATTGTGCAGGTCACCCCTGCACAGTGGGTTCACTCCCAGTCCGACATGCTCTGGGCAGAGCCAGAAGTGTGGGCAGCACCCTGGGGCCGGAGGAGCGTGGAGACTTAGCTGTGTGGGGTTCGAGGCATGTTAGAATTTAAGTGTCTTAGTGATGGTACTGGACCACAGGACTTCGAAGAGGTTGTGCTCCACCCTCAACTATGTGGACATAGTTGTCTCTGGACTGGCTTTGTTACAAGACCTGTACCTCTGACCTCCTACCAGGTCCTCATGCTGGGCTCTCAGATAACCCAACCTCTAGGTAAGAGAGATATAAATTTCTCCTTCTTCTTTCTTCCTTCCAGATTTATTTCTTATGCATACATGTGTCCTTGCAGGCCAGAAGAGGGCACCAGATCTCATTAAGGGTGCTTATGAGCCACCATGTGGTTGCTGGGAATTGAACTCAGGTCCTCTGGAAGAACAGTCAGTGCTCTTAACCCCTGAGCTGTCTCTCTGGCCGATAAATTTCTTTTCTTTATAAAGTATCCAGTTTGTGGTACTCTGTTACAGCATCAGAAACTAGACTAAGGGTCTGTGCTGAGAGGCACCTAAGCAGTCTGCCTCAGTGTCCTGGGAGGACATTCAGGCTCAGGCTACCAGACCTTTCTCATGAGGAGATGGAAGCCCAGAGTTGTGTATGTGTTCTGCCAACTTTGTTTGCATTTAATTTTTCTGCTAATAAAAAAGAGTGCTTCCAATAAGACACTGATGTGAGCCACCCTAAACTTCCGTCTGTGGCCTGAAGCTGACCCCCTACGCTTCAGGCGAGTGACCCTGGTGTCTGGCAGGCCAGTCTTCAGGTTTCAATCCTTCCTGCACGTCAGTGCCAGGTACAGAATGACCTTCCAGAGTGGTCTCAGTTTCCGTTCAGCTCCTCCTCCAAGCCTGCTGGTCCTGCTCCTGTTCTCTGGATGAGACAGCGCCCGCAGAGACCAGATCTGAGGCCCCTCAGATCATCTGCAGCCCTCAGATCTGAATATGTGAAACAGGACCGCAGTGTTTATTTTATGAGCAAGGGTGATTCTCCTGTAGGGATGTCTGTGCCTGGTGCCCTTGGTGTTGGATCCCCTGGAGCTCGAGTTCCAGATGGCCAAGAGCAACATGTTGATGGAGGGACCTGAACTGGGGTCCATTCATCTGGAGGAGTGACCAGTGCTCTAACCACTGGGAAATCTCTCCACCCCTGCCTCTTCACTCTTCTTTGGAGTCACATTCTGTGTCTCAACAGTCTCCTAGCACTGAGAACCTCCGTACTGGGCACGAGGCAGCTCCCCCACTCCGGAGAACTGCCTGTCCTGACTTCCTCCAGTGAGGGACTAGAATCTGGAAGTGTAAGCCGGATAGACCCTTTCCTCCCCAACTTGCTTTTTGGTTGTGGTGTTTTCTCACAGCAATAGAAACCCTAAGACACCATGTTACATCAGTCTGGATGGCTGGTCAGTGTGGTGGAGGGATCCCAGGGTTGGTTTGACTATACTTTGGAGTCTGGTTCCTCTAGCTGACTTTCCTGCGTCCGGCAGCACACACCGGAGACTGGCGCCCCCATGTGGTCTAAATGGCACAGTGCCTCCCAGGGCTACTGCTTTCTGGTGTCTGGAGGATGGGAGGGAGCTTCTGGAGGTTTCTCTTAGGAGAGTCTGGAAGTGGCTCTCTAAGAAAACCACAGCAAAACTCTGGGACCCAGGTGGGAGTCTACGCCTGTCCTGAATTTGATAACCCACAGCAAAGCTTCAGCAGGCAAAAATAGGGATGATCTTGCCTGTACAGCCGAGACTAGGCGAGGTCCTCAGCAAAACAGACTGTGTCTGCGTGCATGGCTGCAAGGAAAGAAGATATTACAGCCCCTCAAAGAGGAGGAACCCCTAGGGCATAGTTGCTGGGGAGGCATCTGAGGGCTAGTGCTGCCCTCTAGTGGGTGCTGTGGGTGGCTTACAGGTACAAGCTCTGCTCAGGTGTTGCCTAGGAACTAGATCAAAGACACACCCCTTCCTCTCTCCCATTTCCAAACACCCAGACCTGAGTCCTTGCCAGCTGCAGGCTTTTTAAAGGAATTAGCCAGCTATTAGCAGGCCTGGAGGCCATCGAGGAAGCTTTGGACCCTCTTGTGCTCCTGTTAACGCACTAACAGTTAAGGAAGGTACAGCGTCATAGTTATCATTAAAGTACTACGTGAAAGGGAGGAGCTGGAGGAGGAGGGCTTTGTTGAGGCCCACTAAAGGGAAGCCGTTACCTCCATCATTGCTTTATAGAAGCATCTTTTCATTATTCGTTAATGCTTTTTAAAAAAATTGTGTTTTATTTGTGTGTGTGCCCGTGTGTGTATGTGTGTGTGTGTGTGCGCACGTGCGCGCGCTCACATGTGATCCATGGTCTGTGTGTGCAGACAGTAGGTTCTCTCCTTCTACCACATGGGCTCTGGGATGGACCTCAGGTTGTCAAGCTTGGCAGCTGGCACTCTGAACTGTGATGCACAGGGTCTCATCATGTAGACCAGGCTGCCCTTGAACTCTGGATCTATCTGCCCTTCCTCTCACCGGCTGGGATTAAAGCCATGTGCTGTCACACCCAGATGCAAGATGTGCGACCCCAGGGTCTTCCTGGGCACAGCTCCTGACAGAGCCTCACTTGAGTCTCCCCACTTTCTGAGTAAAGTGTTGTGAGTAAAAAGTTGTACACTGTGAAGATGTGTCTTTGCCAAGGTGCCTTCTGATCGTTTTAATAAAAAACTAAAGGGCCATTAGCTAGGCAGGAGGTACAGGTGGGAGAGCCAGACAGAGAGAACTCTGGGAAGAAGAAGGGTGAGGTCGCCAGGAGAGCAGGAGAAGCCAGATAGACATGGGAAGGAACCAGACACACAAAATGGGGTAGAGGTAAAAGCCATGTGAAATAACATAGGTCAATAAAATATGGGCTAAAACCAGGTGGTGGTGGTGGTGGTGCACACCTTTAATCCCAGCACTTGGGAGGCAGAGGCAGGCAAATCTTATTGAGTTCCAGGCCAGCCTGGTCTACAGAGTGAGGTCCATGGCTACACAGAGAAACCTTTTCTCAAAAAAAAACCCCAAATAAATAAATAAATAAATAAATAAACAAATAAATAAATGGGTTAATTTAAGTTATAAAAACTAGTTAGGAACGAGCTTAAGCTATTGTAGTTAGCTTTCATAGTTTCCATGTTGTGATTTGGGAGCTGGCAGGAGGGACAGAAAAATCTACCTGCGGTAAAGTTTTTCTCTTCTCACTATCTGCTTGCCCCGACCCTCGGTAGATTCTTGCCGTGTTGTCTTAGGGTTCCTATTGCTGTGGAGAGACTCCATGACCATGGCAACTCTTATAAAGGAAAACATTTAATTGGGGTGGTTTTTAGTTCAGAAGTTCATCCATTATCATTATGGTGGGATGAGGTAGCATGCAGGCAGACATGGTGTTGGAGAGGCAGCTGAAAGTCCTATACCTTGTATGCAGCAGGAAGTGGTCTGTCTCTCTGGACAGATCCTTGAGCATAGGAGACCTCAAAGCCCGCCTCCACAGTGACACACTTCCTCCAACAAGACCACACCTACTCCAATAAGGCTGTACCTTCTAATAGTACCACTCCCTTTGGGGGCCATTTTCTTTCAAACCACGTGCATTGGTGGACTGTGGCGGAGACGAGCTCTCTTCAGAACCACAAAACCCAGTGTATGTTTTGTGAGCTCTGTCACCCACCAGCCAACACTGAAGATCGTGGCAACACAGCAGGTACAGCCTTGCCCTGGGTGTGCCAGCCCCCATGGGATGCTGGGGCTCTGGCGCAGGGCTCAGAGTCTTCACCTGAACCCACAATACGATACAAGGCCTGTCTTACGGTTCCATGGTTGTGAAGAGACACCATGACCAAGGCAACTTAGAGAAGAAAGCATTTAATTAGGGGCTTGCTTATAGTTTCAGAGGGTGAGTCCATGGCCATTGTGGCAGGGAGCATGGCAGCAGGCATACAGGTACGGTGCTGGAGCAGTCTCTGAAAGCTGACACTGTGGTCCTTGGGCAGGAGACAGAGAGTTGTCGCTGGGTCTGGTGAGGGCTTTGGAAACCTCCTCCAGCAAAGGCCGCACCTCCTAATCTTCCCTAAACAGTTCCATCAACTGGGAACCAAATATTCAAATCTATGAACCTATGGGGGCCACTCATTCAAACCATCATGACGACCCAGTGTGCTAGGATCTGGGGAAGGACTCGTCGAATGGCAGCGAGGCCACTTCTCACATCACCCGGGATCCCTCCATCCCTTGGTCCCTCCCACCCCCAGGGTTGTCCCACTGTCAAATGACAGCTCACCTTCTGAAGTCCAGTCCCCAGTTTCTCATTCAGACTCTTTTTCGAAGATGAACTTGCTTGGCTAACAGTGAACCGCTCTCATTTTTCTTAGGGTGATGGTGGGGCGGGCTCAGGTCAGTTACACGCTGCCTCAGTTTCCCCATACAGTCCCTGGCAGGGGTACTCTCCTCGTTAGGCAGAAGGTTGGGAGTGATCTCAGAAGTCTGTCAGTGTCATAGAGCTCAGCGCCCAGGTGGCTGCTGGGAGGAAGGGTGATGACATTCTCTGGGTGCTTCCTAAGGGTTTTCTCCATGGCCGTAGCCTCACAAGAACAGTGGCTTAGACGCATGGCATCCTAATTTTCCTTCTTTTGCTGGTGGGCTGTGCTAATCAGGGTCTTTGGCAGCAGCTCTCTTGGCCCACAGACTGATGGTCGAGTTTGAGCAAAACTGGCCAACTACCTTCACCTCCATGTCCTATCTAGAAAGGGACAAGACAAAAAGGTAGGTTCTCACCTGTTATGTTAGCATCTTGATGTCCAGTGCCTAGTCATGTGACTGCCCCTGATGCAAGGGTTTCTGGGAAACATCATACCTTAAGACAAAGTCTTATACAGCCAGGGCAGGCCTCAAAGTCCTCATTCTTCTGCCTCCACCTCCCTCCTAAGTACAGGTGTGCTCCTGGCCTGGCTTTATTACTTTTACAGAAGGAGAGAACGAGTCAGGCTGGGCTCACGTTTGTAATTCTAGCGCTTGGGAGACAGGAACAGGAAGACCATAGTTCAAGGTCATCTTTGAGCTATGTAATAAATTTGAAGCTAGCCTAGGCTAAACAGGATCCCATCTCAACAAACAAACAAATAAACAAAAAGAAGGAAAAAAGAGGAGGAAGAGGTGCAGACGTGAAAAAGGAGAATAGAAGGCAAATAAGTAAATACATACATACATACATAAATACATACATACATAAATACATACATACATAAATACATACATACATAAATACATACATACATAAATACATACATACATAAATACATACATACATAAATACATACATAAATACATACATACATACAAGAAAAAAAAGTGGGCTACACCAGGCAGGGTGTAAGACCCTTCAGCAGGCAGGCGTCAGGGAACTGGGAGAGGAGGCAGAAAATTTTCAGACGTTAACATGCATGCAAGCAATCCTCAAGCCACATGCTACTGCTCAGTTAAAAATAAACCTCAGCGGTAGGGAGCTTGTCTATCAGGCCCAGGCCCTGGGTTCAATTCCCAGTGCTGCAAAAACAAAACAGAAACCCTGACCCATACAAGAGCAACAGCACACTTGGAAGCACTCTCTTGGCCACAGAGCTACAGGGGAGCTGACTCCCTGCTGTAAAACTAGCTAAAGACAACTGGGTAAACTCACAGCAACAGACTCGGTTAGCGGCCCTGCTAAACACGGTCCCACGTGCCAGCCTCTGACTGCGAAGGGAAGCCACCAGCAGTAGCCATTGTCCTCTCAGTTGGCCTAGGAAGGCAGCACACAGTTTTCATGGCCGAGGCCCATGCCATCCTAGGCAGAATGAGGTGCCTATGCCTACTAAGAAACAAACAAACAAACAAACAAACGGTAGGTGACAAAGCCTGGACAGGACAGGTGGTTTTTCCCCAGTCATCCCTTCTGGAGCCTTCTTGAGCCATCCTCTCCCTGAACTTCTTCACTAAAAGCTCTTTTTAAAGGCCTGCCAATTAAAGACGCTTCCTTTGGTTCTTTGTCTGGCAAGGGGCTGTAGGAGAGATCCTCATCAAAGGACCCACATGGTTCTCCAGGTCTCAGCATCCTGGCTGTCCAGGTGTAGAGCCAGGGCAGAGGTAGAGAGATGGGAGGGCTGACCCTGCTCTCCAGGACCAGCAGTGTGTCAGCACAGCCTAGCGTGCGTTGTTGGGCTGAGTTATCCAGCCAGGCTCTGGGCACTCAGAGTCCTGACCCTTGACCTCCCCATCCTGCTCCAAGAGAGCCTGTTCTGAACACTGTGAGCACCCCTTCTGAAGTACTCGGTGTCCTTGGGCGTCCTCAGCATTGGTCAACATTCCCATAAAATATGGTTTCCGTTAGCTCAAAAATGTTTTTCTTAGGGCACAGCCAATCCATCCATGCCTCAGTATTCCTCCTAGCAAGGACCTTGTAAGCAATTTTTATTACAATGAGATAAAGACCCTGTGGCCACAGAGCAAAAACAGTCTGCTTCCTGCAGATAGTAGGGGTCAGATTTCTCCCCGCACCCGACTGCCTGGAGTCTTGATCACACAGCATCTCTGCCACCTTTGTTTCCGGGGGCCAAGCACTTCAGTTCTGTGTGTTGGCTGGGACTTTGAACCGATGGTTTCCCACTTTGTCTTTGGAAAGGAGTAGGCTGTCATTAATGATAAAGTTAAGGATTAGAACCCCCTAACTGGAAAGAAACAAAACCACCCGTGACCCTGTGGGAGGGGCCCCCACTGCTGTGCTTGAAGGTCAGCTGACCAGACCTTCCCAGGAGTGGGGCAGAGAGGTGGAGGAGCTGGGGGGCGGGTGTCTTAGAAGGCAGGCGAGGCCATATTGCAAGAAGTGCAAAGCTTCAATCCCCACGCTTGCCGGGGGGGGGGGCTGCAGCAGTTCAATTGCAGGAAACAGGGCCCTGACTCCAGCTCTGTCACTCAGGAGCTGTGTGGCCCTGGTGAGTCACTTAGCCTTTCTAATAACAGTAGATGCAGCATGGAAGGACTAGTTGTTTAAATTACTGTGAAGGGTGAGAATAGAACCTCGCATTTTAGTAGTGACAGGAGCTTGTGCTGTGGCTGAATGGGTGGAGGGAGGATGGAGGAGGACTGGCAGGGAGCACCGTGGAGCTGTGGCTGAATGGGTGGAGGGAGGATGGAGGAGGACTGGCAGGGAGCACCGTGGAGCTGTGGCTGAATGGGTGGAGGGAGGATGGAGGAGGGCTGGCAGGGAGCACCGAGGAGTTGTGATTGAATGGGTGGAGGGAGGAGGGAGCTGTGGGGGAATCTTTTAGCTTAGACTGAGCTAACAGTCAGTCTAACAGTCAGGGGCAGAGCACGGGTGGTAAGTCCTGGTGTAAAGCTTCACGGGGGCTCTGGAAGGACTGATGTGGGGTGCTTTGTGTGAGTTGTTTAGGGTCAGCCCTTTGTGGGCTGGATTGTGCCCAAGAGGCCTGGATTCAGGGTGTTGGGTATGAGGCATGAAGCTGGGTAGGGAATAAGCAGGGCGTGAGAAAGGAATGCTCCCCCACCCCCGCTGGTCCTCATCTCCTCTCCTTGGCTGGCATCCAGAAAATTCAACACAGCCAGGCCACCTGTAAAAGACCAGGACTGCCCTGTTTAGGAAACACTGCCCATGAGGCTGTTAGCAATGGCTCTAGAACCGTGCGGTAGGTCCAGTCTTCCTGTGACGTGACTATTGTCACAAGCTCGGAGGTACAGCCAAGAGGATTCAATGTCTAGAGATCTGAAGATGGCTGAGATTGCGATGTCTCCAAGCAAGCAGAAGAGCAGCAGGTGCAGAAACTCCGCCATGTATGTTGTTGGGGAGACCAGGAATGATGCCTGAAAGTCCAGGCAATCTCACCAGGTTCTAAACTGTGAATTGAGAAATGAATGGGGGCGGAGGTTGGCGAGAGAGCTAACACAGCACGAGGAGGTTGGCGAGAGA